TTCTCAAGATAAATAAAACAACTTTAAAGAACAGTGAGATAGGTGAACTACCCTGCTATGATTTAAGAAATACAATAAACTTACGCAGTACCATCAAAATGCAGTTTTGTCCATGCAGTGATGCTGCAGACCCTTTTCATTTTAAAAGGAAATTAGTTTCCACTGACTACAAGAGTCAGCTGAAACTTCATATCCACACTAACAGTAGGGGTTCTTTTATAAAACTTATTTTCCTAAATGACAAACAAACATAAGACTCTGAAAGGCAGACTACCACAAAAATTCTTAAAGAAAACTTGTCAGCAACCAAGCTCTGCGTGTTTCAAGACAACTCTCCTTTTGCCAGGAGGCAGGAGCTTAAGTTCAGTAATGGAGGAGTACCCTACCAGAATAAATTGCAGTTAAAACCTCAATGGAATAACAATGACAGTATCTGAAAATCTAAAATAGAAGATAATTTTAAGAATTTCATTTGCATGAGCTAAAGCCTTTGCATCACTTCTCTCTTCAAATGCAAATTCAAATGTAACATATAAAGTTTTTCTGTAATGCCTTTACAACAACCGCAATCAATAACTTCTTTCATGGTTTTCCAACACTTCCTGAATATGTTTGGTAAGTATAGGTGTAACACTCAAAAGTACTCGGCAGCTACTGGCCAACGATGAATTTTATCAGAGTTCTCATCTAAACACAAATAACGGATAACAGAAATTTCCATTCTCATTTTGAAGAGTTGAAGATTCTAGCCTTTACATTTACACAGACAAGTCTTGAAAGGTCTATAAGTAACCCAAAATAATTGTCTTGAGAAGCATGAACACACAATCATTCAGAATTTCATGAAATCTATGGCTGTACTACTGGGAAAATCTGTTATTTTTCAGTCAAGATCAGAAAATTCATTAGCTTTATTATCTAGAAGCCCAGTATTTTGTCATACCTATTGTCCAGCATTGTTTACTGCCTATTTTGCTTGACCTGCCTACAATGGACTTGACATTTTCCACTTTAAGCATGCAAAAACTGGCTGCAATATAGTATTTGCTTCCCACGTTGCTCCACAGCACCAGGCAAGTGCAGAAGCAAGGTATTCAGAGACCTAAGAGTTTACAGAGCAGACTACACAGCTAAAGTGCTTAGACAACAAGAGCTCCTGCTGAGCAACCAGAGACTAGGAAAGCAATCCTTCAAAGCATCTTTCTCTCATAGCATGCACAGGCTAAGGGACATACTGAGGTGGCACTACATACACTGCCAGTCTTGTAATTACTGAAAGGTCATAGAGCAGAACACATCAAAAAACAAGCCAAAGTCACAACAAAAGCAAGCCTGAAAGTTGTATTTCATCTGTAACTTTCAAAACTGAGTTGAGGATACTCTAGTTGAAAAGTATGTCATGAGAACGGTATAAACAAACATTGCTACATACACAGCAGCTCTAATAGCAAAAAAAAAGGATATTGTCGCAGAATTGATCCAGCTGTGCTAACACACAGAGATGACCTCGACAGCCATTAGCAAGTCTCCGGCATTATGCAAGTCCTAAACAAGTACACTAATCAGTTTTTCACACCTTTTATATGCCCAAATTCCATGTACAGGAAAAGAGTATCTTAAATTTAAGATTCTTTCCTTTAGCCATTTGTGTGCCTTGCAAGTTAAGAAAACAGTCAACAATTCAATCAATCAACTCATGCCTCTTTTCTGAAAGCCTGAAAAAAAAAACCAAAATTACTATAGTCCTGATAGTCTCCAAAGAAGTGTTCAAGTACATCCAGAAGGAAATCCATTTCACTACTGTTATTTTTAAAGCACTACACCACCTAAAATGAAGAAGCATGAATCATCAGTAATGAGATCCAATTGAAAAAAAAAATTAGGTTAATAAATACTATCTGGAAGTTTACACATAATGTACTGGTCTGCATTCATGCAATTACAATGTGTGCAGCAGTTAAAATAATTCTTGAGTGAGTTTCCAGAAACCACGTTACCTGGAAGACACTATCTCAGGCCTCATCAATTTGAATTGTTAAGAGTTTTATAATAACAGTCAGGCCTTGAAGCATAAGAGGAAAAAACCACTAAGACAAGACACAATTGTAAACAAATAAGTTTATAAAAGCAGCACCTCAAAAGCATCCTGCTTCCATATCTTTTACATAAATTCTTTCATCTTAAAAAGATTTTTTAAATCTTTAGATTATAAGGATAAGAAAACACAGATAGATTTAAGTACAGTAAAGAATCTTAATTTTTCCTTTGAATACTACACAAATGCAATTATTATATTTCATTGTCCTGACTTCTAATACTATGCATGGTGACACCTACATATGAAAAGTGGATTTTCTAAAATGTCATTCTCATGAATAAAAACCAATAGTTGTAAATTATTATTTTTTTCCTCCTCATTTATTTCTGTTCAAAGTGTTGAAGACAAATTTCGACCTTCAGATTCATAAATGAGGTAGGCATTTTTTTAATTAAGCACTGATAGGCAAATCCCTCAAACACTTGTACTGGACTGACATGTTTTTAGCCAAGAGGCAGAAAAGGATTTTGGGAAAACTAGCAAAGCTGGATGCTCTATACTGTCTAAACACTGAAGGAACCAAAGATACCTTGAAATTTAGAGGAACAAAACAGTAAAACAGTATCAACTTCTTAATTACAGAATCTTCCAAACAGAAAGAACAAAATTAATTTTAACAGAAATCTATTAGTTGAAAGAAAAACTAATATCTAGAACACCTCTACCAAGCAAAAGTGACTGACTTTAGAGACATTTAAACTCATTTGTAGTAAATGTGAAGCAGCAAATCCAATAAACAGTTATGCAATCCAAACTCATGACAGTAATTCCTAATGATTATCTGTTTAAATAGCATTTGCTGATATTAACAATTCATTCTTGTTTATATTTCCTACTGGCATTTAGGTGTAAAACTTGTGTAACACCGATTATCTGTATTCCTCAGAACTTAATTCCTGTTCTAAGCCAAACAGAAAAGCAGTAACATCTGAATACAGTCCCTGAACAGGAATTTTCCTTACCTCTCGGGCAGTGATGGAGGGAGAACTGTGAAGATTTAGAACAGGAACTGAGGAAGCAGAAAAATATACAAAATTCTAAAATTTTGTTGCATTAATGTAGACCAATACAGCATTTTACTTTTACTGAAAATGGCAGGGAAAATGAAAATGAGACCATGTCCAAAAGAAGAAGATGTTATTTAAATGGAAGAACAATAATAAAAGTTTAACATTCATTTATATTTGCTTTACTAAAACACACTGTGGTTTTTGGGTTTTTTTCAAAGCCATGCCAGACTAACTGGCTGCACAGCATGAGTTCTGAATCTGACTGATATTTAAATCTTCTGTTCTAAATTTATTTGTTCAATGG